TGATTCGTTAAATTTCCTTTTTTATGTTTAAATCATTGTAATGTTTTAGCGAAAGTCAAGGACACCGTGTTTTACACATTGGAGAACTAGCGGTAGGTATGTTTAATTACTTTCAATGAATGCGTGCGTGTATAAAAATTGATCTCAGCTAGTTAATACTAATTTCGGACGATCATTTTTCTAGAAAATTTAAGAACCGTGGATGAAATTTCTCTAACAAATATTACACATATGTATCTACCATTAAAGTTATGATAAAATTTAGTCCGGTGATTGCTGCGTAATGTTGTGTACTAAATGAGGCTAAGAAAACTGTATGTACCAACAGCAAAAATAAGATATAAATGAACAGTTGATTCATGACAGTCTTCTATTTATTTCCAACGTCGTATTTTTTTTATAACAATAGAAATAATTGGGGCATCATTACAAACATCTAACTGTTCTAACACTTTTAGAGTGATCTACTGAATACCAGAAATAATAAGACGGGGTCACAATTACACGCTAATAAGTACTGTAAAATTTCATTGTAATTACAATATCGGTACAAGCTGTTTAAAACGGCTCTGTCTTAAATAGGTTTATGTGCTAGAAAAGGTTTGTAGTTTATATAATTGAAATAGCATTTTTTTATTCGATATCATAGAGGCTGTAGAACACTAATAATTTTTTATTTGCTATTTTATTTATATTACTTAATAAAAAAAATCTAACACTTGATTGTTTTTTTTTTAAACAAAAGACCTGCAATCTTTTACGTGTACCTACCCACATATGTGTTCTTATATGTGTTTACGAAAAAGGCATAAAATAATCAACTTTATTAATGATTTATTAACAGTCTCCGCTTTTATGCCACTGTTGTAAATCTCATCATCATTCTCCTGCCCTTCTCCCACTCACCTGGGATCGGCGCAACGTGTTTTCTCCTTCCATACTCCTTTACCATAATTCATATACCATTTCTTCGCTCATTCTTACACTTCCCCACTTATCCTTTCAAAATAAAATCCCAAAATAATTAGCGTATTGTTTTTATACTCGGTCATGCGGCTTACATACTTAGCATTAACTAAGTCGTCGTGGCCAAAAGGGTAATAGTCCAGTCAATTTAGGTTTCATCTGGGGAAAAATTCCTAGTGGGCTGAATTTTTGTATACACCTTTATTACGGTGATATTATGAAGATGTGAAAAATCGACATCGATATTGTGCCGGCTTAAAAAGTTACAAAGGTCAAAATGTCACGAAAATCAGCAAATATTTCGCAACCTATTGCTCGGAAGTCAATAGAGGTCCTTATAAAAACTGTACCTCATAAAATTATCTACAAAAAATGTCTCTTATAGTTTTTATGTAAAAGTAACGGTTTTCGGATGCTTAGTGTACTCATATAGATCGATGCTCGATGCGATTATGCCGATGTTTAAATTTCGCAGAAAGGTAAGTAGGTAAGTACCAATTTTTTCAAAGAAGCTATAATAGATCTGACTTATGAAGTTGCGTTTTTACAATATTAACCATTCGAAACATAATTTATGTATGCCAGGCAATAAATTATAAAATGCAATGAATTTTCTTTTAAAAATATACAACTTTATTTTCGATTTCAGTAATTTGTTTATTGATTAATAATATTTTTCACTATATTTGTATCTTTTTCGTCAATATGAACACGATAAAAATAGGAGTAATTGTGGAACATGAGTTCCGTCGCGATAGCAATGCCGCACAAATGGCTCATATAACATAAATGACGTGCACGAAGTGAACAAACACTACAAACGAACGCACGGCTCGTTCTTGGTGGTCATGGGTGCATAGTTTGAATGATAAAAAAAAAGATCTGATGAATTCTCTCTGGAACAGTAATTTTACTATGCTTCCTTTTTTTTTAAACGCGGCCATATTTACTTTGTGATTTTAGCTTATTTCCTTTTCGAAAGTACATACCTACTTATTTTCATAAATATTTTTGTTTTTACTCATTTATTTTTTTCTTCTCCAAAGACAATGATGTATTATATATTTATAATAAATATGAGGTAGGTATGTAATTTTGATACGTAGCTGTCATCGGTCTAAAACACTACGTTAAGCAAATTTTGTGATGTAACAGAAAGGCACTATACATTTTTAAAGAGGTTTCAATAAAATCCAACATTTAAACAGGTTTGAATGCTTGGAATCCTTGCTCGGATTCTGGACGTTCTTAAGACTTCATTAGAGTCATTAGTCATGTTATTAGATCCTAGATAGACTAGTCTCATAAAACATCTGTTTTTGGCACTGGTAGCACCAAATCAAAGAATTTTATTTAGAATATATTATTGTATGTTTTCTAACATGGCGTTAAGTCAAGGCTATGTCAATACATTACTGAAAGCCGCACCCAAATTGGTTCAACTATTGACTCAGTCATTGACAAACAGATAAAAGTATGTTCATGATCATATTTTGTGACTAATTGATAGCTCTTACATATTCTTTCAATTCGTCTCTAACCAATAAGTGTACATTGATGGCCATGCCATTAAATTAATGTCACTAATATAGGAAAGATAATATAAAATTGTTGCATAAGTGCACAATTATTGAAATGAGACAGCTACTGTTAATATAGTACATTTGCATATAGTACAATTGCCATTTTACACGCGGGAGGAAATGTCCTAGTTTTCTCCCTTGGTGCACATGCTCTTTTTTCTCCTACCAGGCCGAAAGTTCGTGGAGTACCGAGCCGGGGTCCAGGGGCGAAGCCCCGGTGGGGCCCAAGGGCGAAGCCCTGGCAGGGGGTAAACTCATAAAAAAAAATAATTTAAATGTTTTTTTATTTTTAAATAAACTACTACTAATTGAATAAGAACCGTCTGATGAACTCATCTTTGTTTAATACTTCACTATTAAATTTTATTGCCTTTGTTTATTTCACTTTTACACTAAACACAATATTGCAAATTACCCGAGCACAACAATGGTGGAGAATTTTAGGCGCGTGAGAGTAGACGTAGACACTAACGCGCATGCGCACTTGTACACAGGGAGGAAAAGTTACAGTTTCTTCCCTGTACAGCGGGAGGAAAAGTTAGACTTTCTTCCCTGTACAGCGGGAGGAAAACCGAACTTTCGGCGTAGGTAGGAGAAAAAATATATTTATCCGGTGTTAAAAAGCCACTTAAACCTATTGCTTAATCAATGCAATAGGGGGTAGGCTCTTTTTTTTAACTATTTCCCTGCGAGTTTCTAGTGTATTATTAAAAATTGTATGATTTCAAAAAGTTTTACTTGTCGTCCTTAAAAAGAGTTTGAGCTCATTGAATATAGTCTACTCTCGAGTCTTAAAGGTAAGGCAGGTAAGTCGTCCTAGATCTGATTCTAGAACTGATTCTCTGCATCAATTTAGTGTAACATAAACTATAGAGTGATAACGTTATTTAAATACTTAACTATGCTTAATCTGGCTTAAAGCGGGAAAATTAGGTACCCGAATTTAAACCATATGCCTTTGGGATTTAGCGAAACTACTGGTTATTAACTAGTGTGGTCTAGTTTTCTGTGGATACCTACATGAAATATCCGGCTTCGACTACACGATCATAACAACGCTAGCAGTTAAAAAACTATCTACTGACAAAATGACTACTTTACGTGGGTAATTAGAATTATTACTACGATTCGAGCAAAATAAAACGTGCCATATTATTTTGACCTACCCTCATTACGTATGCCGGGTCGCGTTAATTTATGAGAGATTTAACAAATGTCTCTTGCGCTTAACGTGCGCTCACATTAAAACGGTACTGCGATGCTTTATTCGAACGTGACTCATAAAGAGATATTTGGTGCTGTTGTTGTCGTTTATTGTAACAATGATTGTCCCTCCATCCCTATTCTTTGCACACAAAAAAATTTAAATTGATATTTGAGGTCCGGATGTATATACTATTCTTGTATGTACTATTGTACATTATATACTATTCTTGTATTTCGGGTATTAAGCTTTATATTAAATTCCTAATAACTAAAATAAATAATTAATAAATAAGTGAGAACAAATCACGTATGGTCAACCGGCCCCAATTTAGGATTGCCTGTGTTAAGGTAAGCCTGAGAAATGACATAGATACTTCTATGCTTATTTTTAATAAATACATTTATAGTTAATTACTGGTGGTAGGACCTCTTGTGAGTCCACGCGGGTAGGTACCACCGCCCCGCCTATTTCTGCCGTGAAGCAGTAATGCGTTTCGGTCTGAAGGGTAGGGCAGCCGTTGTAACTATACTGAGATCTTAGAACTTATATCTCAAGGTGGGTGACGCATTTACGTTGTAGATGTCTATGGGCTCCAGTAACCACTTAACACCAGGTGGGCTATGAGATCGTTCGCCCATCTAAGCAATAAAAAAAAAAAATTACATCTGGACAAAGAGCAAACAAACCTATTCGTCACATGAATATTTGCCGAATGCGTCGGTGATGTCGTTGAAGAAGATGCTGCGCTGCGGATCGATGCCGCGGTGAATTATTTTTATTATCCTCAAGTTGAGGAAGAGCTGCTGCTCAAGCAGGGGAGGTTGCCTTGAGGCACATCAGCAATTGGTCTGTTTCGGTCTAACGAGCAATGAAAGTCGCCTCGCGCAAAACCTCTTTGTCGTTTGCCAAAAATAAATCATCGATATGAGGACAAAATAATATAAATCGTTAAATATTAAAACGATTTTATAAAATTTTAAATTTCAGAAGCCCTAATCTTTGCTTCAAGAACTACATATTTGCCTTTACTCTTTGCTTCAAGAACTACATATTTTATTAACTATCTTTCATGTCAACGTTGATCAATTTCACTGAAGTATGAAACCCACTGAAATAAAGGTTTGATGAAACCTAGGTCTATGATAAATTTTCATCATTGACGTTGACAGCTTTTGACGTACACACGAGCAAAATTGACGTTTCACAATAATCAATGAGTTGACGTCAGTTTAGTTGACGTTTAAGTTTTATCGAAACACAAGGTCGTACAGTAAATAGTACCTACATGTGCACTATAAAAAGGACCCAAAAACTAGATACGATTTTAATTGGATATCTGAATCCCAGAAGAAAACTTCATTGTTAGAAAATGTGCTGTTGTACTTATGAAAATTAGTTACTTACATAGAATAACTTAATCAAAATGATTGAAGGATATGGAGCAGTTACACAGGCCCTCTTGGGGACCTTATTGACTTGGGGGCTCACTGCTGTTGGAGCCGGTTGCGTATTCTTTATAAGAGGAAAACATGTGCGTTATGATACATGAAACAATAGAGAAACATATAGTATGCACGTTTTTTTTTATACTTAATATTAAAACTTTATTGTTCTGTTTACAGAGAAAACTACTTGACTTGTCGTTAGGATTTGCAGCCGGAGTCATGACAGCAGCTTCTTACTGGTCACTATTAAAACCAGCCATAGAAATGTGTGATACATATGGAGAAGATGGAAAATATGCATTTGTCCCAGTAGCAGGAGGGTTCTTGTGTGGTGCTGTGTTTGTGTATGGAACTGACAGGTTCTTAGACTACCTTGGAATTAATTCTACTAATATGATGATCAGTAAGTGCTTTATGAAATATAATTCCTTAAATTATTTTCTTATGTTGAGTTTTCGCCTTTTCGTTTTTTCAATATTTTCAATTTAATGTCATAACATAATGGGTGACATACAAAATATATTCATTACTTTTTCATTTTTATTTCCACTGCTTTTTAATTTGTTAGTTTTATTTATGTGCTTTTTTGTTTTATAGTCTATTTCATATAAGCTACAAATCAATGTTGTCATACTGAAAATCTGGTTGTTGTCTATTATCACTTAAAAACCTACAGTAGTTGAGTTGGAATAAATAAATCTTGTGATAATTCTATAATGATGCCGTTGTGCATGTTTTCCTAAAAATTTTGCAATACTAGGGAATTAATAAAAGATTACAGCATATATGAGAGTCTCAGCACTTCAATAACCCTGCTTATTTGAGGAGTCTTAAGTTAATCTTAATTAAATTCTTAATTTTTTTGGCATTGGTTGTTATACTAACAAAATATAATGCATTTATTCAATGAACATAGTATGTAGTCCACTGATTGAGAAATATGCTGTTTGTCTTCCTTAAGGTTTTTGTGCTTCTTTAAAGATAATCTTTCATTTAAAAAGTAACTAAAAAAACAAAAGAACATGTATCATAAAATATATTCAGACAGGTTTTTATTTTTTATTATGTGTAAGATATTTTGATAAAGTAATTGATTCTGTTCTCACGAATTGCAGACTAAATTAAAACTACCATTATGTTTTAATCTCACAATTACTATTTTATTTAAATTAATGATGAATCGAATATGAATGGTTTTGTTGAACAATTTTTGAACAATTGATTTAAGTGAACTTCTTTGGAAAATTCTTCTACTATTCAATTTTGGACTGGCTTAATTTGCTGTTTTTTATAGCAATATTCTAGAAATAAATCCTATAAATATCATGCATCAAATACATTAATACATCACAGATAAACTACTATGTTGTTTGTAAGTTGATTGAATCCCTGTCATGTATCATTTTGCCTGTTCGAGTATCCCATTGAGTTTCTCGTTGTATCTTATTAGTGAGTTGCGATTCCAATCCAGTGGTAGATACTACGAAGCACTGCTCTTGCTAGGCCTATTGTTAGTAGATTCTCTCAGATTGACCCCCTTAAGCTCACCTGTCAAGCTGTGTGTACCTGGACTAGCCTCTTAGGTTATCAGTGAATATGTAGGAGAAAAAAATAAAAATACATATTTGATAAATACCTATATGAAATGAATCTATGTATTTCTTAACAACAACAAAAAAGAATAAAATCGTCATTTTGTACAATGGCTGCTTTGCAATATAATGAAACATGCTTGTTCCAAGATTTATAGTTTCAAAATTAATTTAGAAACATGTTCTCCAAAAATATTGTGTAATAATAATAAATTACACACACATTTGAGATAAGCATGCAGAGTGCTTGAGCAAAACAAAACAATTACCAAATATGAGTTCTGATAGGGTTCTACTGTAGCAATGTGAGCTAGCAATATGAAAGCCGTTGTTAGGATTAGGACATGCCTAACAAACTCACTGTGTGTATTTGTTGACTAGAATACGAATTAGCGAATAAACCATGAAGAAGACCAAACACTGTAGTTAATATTGATGAATTAATGGTATTGTAATAGTGGTAGAAGCCGAATTTAACACGCACACTGTGGACCTTGATATCGCGAAGGCCTTCGACAGGGTCTGGCATAGGGCACTTCTGTTGAAGCTACCATCTTACGGAATCTCTGAGGGTCTGTGCAAGTGGATCGCTAGTTTTTTGGATGGGCGAAGCATCACGGTCGTTGTAGACGGTGACTGTTCTGATACCATGACCATTAACACTGGCGTTCCACAAGGTTCGGTGCTCTCCTCTACGCTTTTCATCCTGTATATCAATGACATGCTGTCTATTGATGGCATGCATTGCTATGCGGATGACAGCACGGAGGATGCGCGATGTATCGGCCATAGGAGTCTCTCTCGGAGCGTGGTGCAAGAGAGACGATCAAAACTTGTGTCTGAAGTGAAGAACTCTCTGGGGCGAGTCTCCGAAAGTCTTCCTTCGCCCTCGTTAAAGACACAAGTTTGCGCGTTCACTGCGAAGAGAGACCCCTTTGTCATGGCGCCGCAATTCCAAGAAGTATCCCTGCAACCTTCAGAGAGTATCGGGATACTTGAGGTCGACATTTCGAGCGGTGTCAAATTTCGGAGTCATTTGGAAGGTAAAGCCAAGTTGGCGCCCAAAATGCTGGGAGTCCTCAACAGAGCGAAGCGGTACTTCACGCCTGGACAAAGACTTTTGCTTTATAAACCACAAGTCTGGCCTCGCGTGGAGTACTGCTCCCATCTCTGGGCCGGGGCTCCCAAATACCAGCTTCTTCCATTTGACTACATACAGAAGAGGGCCGTTCGGATTGTCGATAATCCCATTCTCACGGATCGTTTGAAACCTCTGGGTTTGCGGAGGGACTTCAGTTCCCTCTGTATTTTGTACCGTATGTTCCATGGGGAATGCTCTGAGGAATTGTTCGAGATGGTACCGACACCTCGTTTTTACCATCGCACCGCCCGCCATCGGAGTAGAGTTCATCCATACTACCTGGAGCCACTGCGGTCATCCACAGTGCGTTTCCAGAGGTCTTTTTTGCCACGTACCATGCGGCTGTGGAATGAGCTCCCCTCCACAGTGTTTCGCGAGCGCTATGACATTTCCTTCTTCAAACGAGGCTAGTGGAGAGTATTAAGTGGTAGGCAGCGGCTTGGCTCTGCCCCTGGCATTGAAGTCCATAGGCGACGGTAACCACTCACCATCAGGTGGGCCGTGTGCTCGTCTGCCTACAAGGGCAATAAAAAAAAACAGTTCAGGGATGGTATCATGGTTTGATGTTAGCTTATTGATGAGGTTTCCATTAAATTAGTAAAATTGAAATAAAAACTGAAAAAGTGCTTCATTAGCACACTTTTTTTTATTTTTTTAACGCTGGGGAATCCATTTACGGATACCCGGTCGAGGGGGATAAGAGACCGGGTTATGTCGGACTCCGGCGCCTCCAGAGAAGAACAGGGAGAAGAAGAAAACAGGGTCCTCCTCTTCTCCCAATTCCTGCCGGGAGACTACGCCTTCAGAAAGGCGCGCGAGGCACTGCACGGCGTCAGCTACCAAGAGCTACCCCGCAACTACCGACTAAACCCCATCGAGCCCCACCACTCCGACTCCACGAAACCCATCGTACCGCACAGTGCGCGCCGAAGGCTCGCCGTCGCCGGTACCCATCCTGTTTTCATTAGCACCCTGCCTAATTGTGCTCCAAAACAGTAATGCCAACACAATAATTGACATATAGACCTGAACTCTCAAAATAGGTGGTTTTCTTAAAATTTTAATGACCATGGGCACTGGTTACCATTTATGGTGTCAGCCAAATACCAAATGCTTGATCTAAAGCAAAATTCGCCCATAGTAGTTTGGTGGTCACTGCAATTAAACTCTTTGAGTTCAGTTGAGTTTAAACAATTGCAATTAGAAACGCTATCATTTTTTGAACTTGGACAATTTCCTACATAGAAAAATGTTCTCAGTAAACGCATGAGCCGTAGGTGATCTTCTACAGATTCTACAGGGTATATACGTCGAAAGAAAATAAAATTCTCTTAAAATACTAGAGACAGATCACCAAAAAAAGTTAATTACTTCTTTATCAGAGTCAATGTATATTCCAGTTTTATTACAACGGGAAACTTAACTACTATCATAGACATTAATTTCGTTTATTTATACAGGTATGTGTCGTTATCAATATTTGCTCACAATAAAATTTTAAGTCTGGTTTTGAAGTGCTCGTTATACAACAACAGACAGTAGTTGAGCCTAAAGTTTACCAAAGATTGTATGTTTAACTCCTTGTTGGAAGTAATTTTAATAATTTATTTTTTAATGTCAATTTTTTTAAGAAAAGACATACGCTTCTGATTCTTATAACTTTTATTAACGACAATCACGTAATCTTGCATAGTTGCCGTGATCATAGTTGTTAAATTTTGCAATGTCCATAGATATTATGATAAAGCGGTAGTGATAAAGTTTTGCTAAACTTAAAAATAATTATATACACACTAATAATATCATAAAATATGTTTCTCAAGTTTGGTGGCGACATTTTTGGGCTCTGTGTGCTTAGTGCGAGTTTTGTAATGGTCTATGGATAGCGTAAAAGTTAAAACTCAAATTTGAATGCTTTTGGAACAGCGCCCCTAGCGACATACGTTGGCAAACGTTCCAACTCCATACAAATTTGAGTTAACTTTTACGCTATCGAGAACGTTAAAAATCTCGCACTAAGCCCTCTGGTACCCACTTGTATAGTTTTGTGTAAGATGGTATGCCCGTCTATCTATAAAGAACAGGCACGGCACAAATTGAATGAGAATTTATGTTTTTGGGTGTTTCAAGAAACAGTTTTTATTATTTTACAAATTGTGTGAACGAATTCACGGCCCGTTTGATGTTAATGATTACCGGAGTCCATGGACATCACAATGTGAATGCCGATTGTATTCCCACGCGTCAAATAAGAATGCAAGACTGCCTTGTGATAGAAATAAGCTAGCGCCGGCGCCGCCGCGCCGTATCTATCTCTGCGAGCCTTACACACTTGTGCGTACACCCTTCTACGCACGCTAATTACATATATTTTTTTATCGCGTGCTTGGTTTTTATTACACTTCGCGTAATGCTTAGTGATAGTATTCCTGTTCTTATAAATATTATTCGTGCGTCGTGTAAGTTGTTCGTGAACACGTGTTAGTTACGTGACTCCTTAAGATAATGGTTGGTGCACCTGCACGCGATTTTTGCATTCCACCGTATGCGCATACGGCTCAAGCGACAGGCGTCTTATGAATTATAGCGGCAAAAGCATGACAAGATACCTTAATGTTAAATTGAATATGCAATTTCGAAAAGGGCACATCTCTGAAAATGTAAAATGTTCAGGAAATGAAAAAAAACTGATTATTTTCTAAAGCAGTGTAAAATTTAAAATATTAACTTTTGAGATATATTTTAGTGTTAATTAGCAATTGAAAATTACTAGAATTATTATAAAATGGGTGTATGTAGGTAAGCCTCAAAACTACATGTATATGAAAAAACGTATTTGACAAAATATGCGACATGTGCCCTTTTCGAAATTGCATATTCAATTATATTGAAAAGAAGAAAATAATTAGATCAAATTGTGTATTCAAATGAGAATATGACGCCGATAGTAATTTATTTCATAATTACGCTAAAATTTTCCAAAAGACCACCGAAATCGCTATAGACAATCGTAGACGGATATAAAACGTTTAATATTATAGAAGATCCTAATGTATTAAACGCATATTTATATGATAATTCTTTTTTTATGTAAACATGTAAGGATGACGTAAGTTTATGTGATCACAGTTCCTAAAAATCGTACTACAAACCTTATAAAAAAAATAAAGTTTGTGTATGTTTGTTTGCGATTTATGGGTTCGCGTGTTATATGCCACTTTTGTCCAACTGTGTTGAGAATTTTCACAATTCATGGCTCTTCTAGCAAAGCAAAACTAGTATGATCAATGTACGATAGGTGGCGCGCAAGTAATTCTAGCAAATGGGTGCTTTTATACATTTAGCAATATTACAACGGGAGGTGATCACATTTCACTAGTATCTTCTAATTATATTCAAAACCGGAAATTTCAATTAATTCAAACAAGTTCAAGGCAAGTGGCCTTCGATTAAATCTTTCTATTTTATTTAAGAAGTTTTCTAAGGTATTATTAGTATTTTATTATTAGTATTTAGTAATCATTATCTTACATTATTCCTAAAATTAAAAATACCGTTGTATATTATAGCTATATCTCGGACACGACAGCGATTTTGATTTTCTTGGTCATCGCCGACAAGTGCTGTTTTACGAAAAAAAAAATTATTTTATAAATACGCTATTTTACCCATAAAAATTGTTTCAATAATCTTTTATATTATAATATTGCACAATAATATTGTTATTTGATGTTGACACCTCAAAACTTAGTAATGTTTTGTTTAAAATTTTAGTGTTTGATGGATGTTGCCTACGTAATTAAATTTGGATCTAAATAGTCATTAAGAAACGATAGGTCCGCCCGAGTATTTAAACATAAAGTAAATTTAGTTTTAGGGAGTATTGAAAAATAATTGGAACTTTTGTCATTTTTATGCTATGAATGGGCAGACAAATTAACGAATCACCTGTTATTGAGTGCTCACAGCAGACCTTAGACATCACAACTCGAATTTCGCAACCCAGTTTGATACATGAAGTTGAAGACTGAATTTTTGTGTGTAACTTAAAATGTTTCGGGGTAGTAATAAGCAAGATTGTGTTCCATGCCCAATATACGCCAATACCAGTAAAGTATTTTCATTTAAAGTCGTCGTGGCCTAAAGGATAAGACGTCCGGTGAATTCGTGTTGAGCGATGCCGTGTTGAGCGATGCACCGTACGTACTCAACAAATGTTCACGATTGATTTCCACGGTGAAGGAATAACATCTATATCTATACTAATATTATAAAGAGGAAAGATTTGTTTGTTTCGAATAGGCTCCGAAACTACTGGACCGATTTGAAAAATTCTTTTTCCATGAGAAGCCTACATTGTCCCTGATGAACATAGGCTACTTTAAAAAAAAAAAAAAAAAATTTTTTTTTTTTGTTTCATGTGTGTTTTAATGTTTCGTGTAATAAAAATCAAACCCGCAAAATTATAATTTGCGTAATTACTGGTGGTAGGACCTCTTGAGTCTGCGAGGGTAGGTACCACCACCCTGCCTATTTCTGCCGTGAAGCAGTAATTCGTTTCGGCTTGAAGGGTGGGGCAGCCGTTGTAACTATACTTGAGGCCTTAGAACTTATATCTCAAAGTGGGTGGCGCATTTACGTTGTAGATGTCTATGGGCTCCAGTAACCACTTAACACCAGGTGGGCTGTGAGCTCGTCCACCCATGTAAGCAATATTTTTTATTTATTATCGCCTATGAATTAAAATTTGCAAATATTTTACATTAATCTTTTTACAGGCTTTTATCCTTCTTAACAAAGTGTTAAAGTAGATAAGCCACGTTCACTTAAATTATCTCTATATCAAAACAAATACATGAGTTTTAGCGGAACCAGAACAGTGATTCCAAGAAGATCAAGATTGAAACAGATCGTTTGTTTTAATCCGTTGATGACAAATAATACAGATAGCGCAATAAAACACTGCTATATATTACAATCTTTGTAAATCGCCTCATGTATTCCATTTTTAACAAATATCCCTCCGAATAGTGGCGTAACGTTCTAAACTCGCTTCCAGGGCACAATACATTTTTAGCTCCCCCCTTTTTTCCTTTTTATGTACGAATTAACATTTATTATATACTGGCAATAAATTTAAAATATGTTATTCAGAAATCAATTTTTTTTTTTTTTTAATATCTACGATTTTTTTTGTTTTGGGGACCGTCTGACGCTCCTTGTGAGTAGCGTCCGGGGAAAGATTTTGTCCTCCCCTCGCTACGCCACTGCCTCCGAAGCAGCACGACAAGACACTACACATAGACACTACCCACTGAGTTTCTCTCCAGATCTCAGTAGACCGTGATTCCGATCCGTTGGTAGATTCAAAGAAGCACTGCTCTTACTAGGGCTAGATATTCCTCCCAGGGTCGGTCCCGTGCGCTTACCGTCTGTGTATAGGTGAAATTGCCCCTTAGGGTATCAATGATTAGATAGGAGAGAAAACTAAGCAATAATGGATACTCAATATAGAGTAGATCGCAACATCACGTTGTGATGCATGTGCACTCTGGCAACTGATTAATACCAAGTAGACCATAAGCTCGTACGTCGAGGTAATAAACAAGTACATTTGTCTTAGAACTCCAGCTATGAATGGTATGCAGTAGGTACATTTAGACCAAATGAACGATAAATGATGTATTAAAAGTATACACTAAAAAATCATGTAACTCCTACTGCGATATTTTTCGTTTAAATTCCTACAGTTATGCTATTAAATGGTGCTATTCCTTCGTCTTGGCAGTCCTTAGTGATTGTCTTGCTTGTGGATTACCTAACAAAGATTGTACCCGCCTGCNATGAATGGTATGCAGTAGGTACATTTAGACCAAATGAACGATAAATGATGTATTAAAAGTATACACTAAAAAATCATGTAACTCCTACTGCGATATTTTTCGTTTAAATTCCTACAGTTATGCTATTAAATGGTGCTATTCCTTCGTCTTGGCAGTCCTTAGTGATTGTCTTGCTTGTGGATTACCTAACAAAGATTGTACCCGCCTGCCAGCTTAAACCCCAGCGTCGACGCAAAAAATATGATATCTAATTTTTAGTTCCAGTCCTCCTAATATAATTTACTAAGTTTAGTATAACAGAACTAATTTGAAAATAACGGTTTTTAGGTATCACCAAAAGCAAAGACTCGAAAGAGAAATTAGAAGATTTGGAAATGATGACCGCTTTGAACAGGCGACCGTCGGTACCGACGAGTGTCGTGACTATGGAATCCCCACAGCCCGCTGAGTTTGCTGACTGTATCACAAACCAGCACACGGCACAGAGGCGGCGTGGTCATCAATCGCACAACTCACTGGTGGGTATGACCCGGTCATGCGACTGAGTTAATGGTACAATAACTGCAGGTCCGTTGCGTATGCACTCCTGTAACCGCTTTTGCTCATTTTCGCCATAATCTCTTTACCTAGATTGAAATAGATCACTCAACCTTTTAATTTCTTATCCAAAAATGGTGATGTACAAAATCGTAACAGTAGGTATGTTATTAATCAGTTTGTGGGGAGAGATATACAACAAAGGGAAGATCTTCCACTGAGCGAGTGTTATTGACCGACGGTCTGAATTTGTTGTTCGGCACTTGTATATATGCAGACTTATCTTGAAAATGTCGTAAGCGAGATTCAGACATTTGTCAAATATCTTGTGTTGTATGATGGCTACCGCCACAAGTTCATGAATAGCTAAGTTTGAATTCTAATAGTGAGGGTAGTTGTAAAATAACAAAAAAGTTTTAAGGAAAAGTGATGTAAACGGGTCGCCCGGTGTAATCTTATCGAGCGAACGAAGCCACCATGCCGGTGCTCAAATCTCGCAGCAAGGCACCAATTATTCTAAGGAAATACGTCCTTGACACGTGCTCACAATTTCACGCTGAATTTTAATGTATAGTTAAAATTTATGTAATAACTGGTGGTGGGTTGTTAGACTGCATGGATGGGTATGCGATATGGTGAAGAGTGACCCTTAATACTATTGGGATTTAGACCTTATGTCTTATGTTGCACGGCAGAATTTTGGATGCGATGTCTATGTTTTACTAAACACTTAATAACAAGTACAACGTGAGCTCGTTCATCCATGTTAGAAATAGTCTGTTTGTATAAAAAAAAAAAATTGTGAGCATGTTAAATTACTGATTCGCTAAAGAATGTGAAAATGTTAATATTTTCATGACGTCATTTACTGCTTTTACCAGTTCTTATCGTTTTATTCTATATCATCATCACGTATCTTAGACGACAACCAACAAAACATTTTGTCAAATGCTCTGTTAACCCGCATCTCTAGATACGCCCGTAATCCAAAGCGTACCGTCATACCAGGTCGTTAACCTCGTTTAGCGATCTATTCGCATTCGATTCATGGTAGGTACATTACAAACAGTGTGCTTAGTGTTAGTATTTTAACGCTCTCGATAGCGTAAAAGTTAACTCAAATTTGTATGCAGTTGGAACAGCGCCCCTAGCGGCAAACGTAGGTAAACTTTCCAACTCCATACAAATTTGAGTTAACTTTTACGCTATCGGGAGCGTTAAAAAACTTGCACTGAGCCCACTGATCAGTTTAGAAAAAAATACCGATTTGAAATCGCAACGAAATATGTGATTGAAATCTCGAGCAAAAATTTGATGACATACAAAATAAATACTCAATTGTGAAATAGAAATTATGCGACTTTGCACCCGATCTGGGTCATCGCTTTGTATGGCACGTCGATGTAAAAACATTTGCTTATCTGAAAAATTAAATGAACATAATTATAATAAAGAACTTCATGTTTACATAATAACATTCTCGGCTCGTCGCTTCGTGTTATTACTAATAAATTAAAACAACAACTATCCTACTGTTCAAATCGGAACGTCTCGTCCGTCTTGTGATCTACAACGTTAATGTTGATTGGCTGAAACGATAAGTCTACAGTACAGGCATAAAGTCGTATCTCGATGATTTCAACTTCTTTTGTATTGTGATTTATGCTAATGTATTAATATAATGATATACAGAGTGTCCCAAAAGGTATCGATAACCTAGCGTCGAGGGAAAGGTTTTTTTATGAGGAGCCATAAAAAAACAGCACTCTACACACAGTAGAACTCGAGTAGTAGCCATTTTATTGAGAAATTTAAAAAATATACTAAATCAGGAGTAAAATTGTTCGACATTGTTATTAGAGTTTTGAATTGTTTGTAAGCTTTAATGCTGTTTTGGCTATGGAATTAGACAAACTAGTTTGTTGTCAGACCAATAAAAAAGAAAACAAATTTATTTATAGAAAAAATACGTACATATCATCGTTAAATGAACTCTTAAACTTACTATCACCGAACTTTGATTACTACTAAAAAAAATATACACTAAGCCAAGTTTCCTCAGAAGAAGGTCGGTATTATCGAAATTCTAAAATGCTGTCATCCCCTGTAATAAAATAATATATTATTTAATTTGTTTTCTGGGATACCCTGTATATGTGTTCGTTTTAAAAGTTGTCGTGAAAAACGAATAAAATATGATATATTTTAATCTTTTTGGTATTTGAAAACCAATATTTAATGTAAATGTTAAGAAGTAAAAGAAACCTTAAAAGAAGACAAAAAACGTCAAAAAAGCTTGTCGTCAGGCAGGCGACTGGTCCTAAAACTCATACCAAATCCCTATACAGTATGATCAGAGGACATGCTACACCGACTCCACATAACTGGCACACTGTCATAAGAGCAAGAACAAGTTCAAATTAATTTAAATATAATAATTTTATTTTGTAATTTTTCTGTTCTGTAATTTTGTTCTTTTTGTTTCTGTTCTGTAATTTTAATTCTGTAATTTTACAACATAGAACAGTTTGTGCCGTTAAGGTAAAGGAAAAAAAAACCACGCACGATTTTGAAAAATAAATATGTCCTTCTCACAGCAATAACAAATAATCAGTTTTGTTTGATTTTCCATGACAATTTAAATAAATAAAAAATCGTCGTTGCGTTCGAAAACGGCATAATTTGCAAAGTTAACGTACATTGCAGAAAATTGGCGAGAACGGAGAAGGTGATCACCGCGACAGCATATCTAAGTCGTTGGAAGCGCGCCAGTCACAGTGGAAGCGTATCATGCTGCTGGTAGTCGCAATAACAGTCCACAATATACCTGAGGGGTTGGCTGTTGGCGTCTCCTTTGGTGCCACAGCCCCCAACGACAAAGCCATGTTCCAGTCATCAAGGTAAGTCGCGGTAATTGAGTAATCGGTATGGATTTCGTTTTTAAATCTGAGTGTGTTTTTTATTTTAATTTCCTTGTGATTTGTAAATCATGATTTATTCATCAAATCAAATTTATGATAATTCAATATCAATATCAAATTTTTGAAATAAATTGAAGAAGAGCGCTTAAATGATTAACAAAGTATTGGTAATGTCATCTACTGAAAGTTATGGGAAATTCTGGTGTATGCTGTGCACCGCCATCTATCAGGTTTTGTTTGAACTAAGTTCAATTTAATGTGATGGTACTATTGTTGTTGAAGTACAGCGCCATCTAGTTTTGTCAGCCTTAACCAATTGAAAATATTAAATAAAAAATATTCAAATGCTACATATAGGGGACACTACTCGTCTAAGTCTAAATTCTATTACAATTAATTTTAATACCACATGAATTCATGTAACGTATTCGGATATTTATAACTGTTTAAAATCATACGTCCCATTCTATTTAAATCACAAAAAGAAAATTTGAACAAAAATTTTCCATTTTAGTTTTAAATTTCTATATAAGTATGCAAAATCGACTGCAACGTATCATAAGTTGACCGCCATTTTGTTACGTCAGAAGAAGGAACGCGAGACACCGTTGATGGAACGAAAACGGCTGTTCAACAGGCATTTCATTGATAAGTTGCGGGCGTGAGCGGGATGCAGCTACCATTTGCACTATGGACTTTGAACTCGGTCTTAGTTCCCTACCTATACATGACTATATTTAATCCTCACTAAACAAACTTACGTTTATATGAAACATTTGTATAGTCGTGTTTATTATTATCTGTATTTTTTGTTGTTTCAAATGACTTTAAAAGATAGATGTCGGACATGAGAATTGTTTCGCTTGTGTCGTCGAACGTTTGGCATGTGCCATCACGCGCTAACTTGGCTAGCGGCATCGTACCTAATCGCGACCGTTCTATTTTGCCAATCGGTTGCGAAATGTTTCAATGTATAATTATCGTTGTTTTATTTCTGTAACCCGCTCGAAATATAATGAAATACGTAGGTATGTTGTGTTTTCTAAACAGTTATTATTCGATATTGTTTTTGTCAAATGTCATGTTACAGTAAATGTAGGGGGGGAACCTTAGCCATATGGTGTCTGTTTTATGGTCTAGATTTCTATCGTTAAATTATCTGTATCCTGTCTCAAAACCCCCTTTTCGTATTGGCTTGTATGAATAGTGTGATAATAACTTTAAAAAAATACAATTCAAACTTAGACTCGGTTAAATAATTGAAGACTTAAACTTTTATTTCTAATTATTTATACTGATTATTTTTGAAATATTTTAAATCTGGTTAGTTTAAATCCAAACTCATTTTTGGGTCCCCGCCTTTTGGGCGTTAATTAGGGTTGGCAACTAATAGAAAAGAAAGCATCGCCAAGACATTAGCGAGTAGTTGTGTCGAGTGGAGTGTGGAGCCAAATCGCGTGGCGGCGGGGGCATCGACCGGCGCGTCCGCGCAGACGCTGTCGTCACCGGTGCGGCGCTGCCGAACCCGGTGAAGCTATTTCACTGAAAAATCCGCCGTCGCGGGCCGTATCATTGAAGGCAACCTTGACGCTATGTCGCGTCGCGTCGTCTTAACCGATGCGTGGGTGCAACATATTCATAACCGTTATATATTGGCACCTTGTGCCATTAACCATTTTGGAAAATTAAAATTCTTAATGTCATAATGTATTCTGCGAAAATACTTTTCGAGAATGTTTAATTAGAAAGTTCTAATTTCGATACCGTGAACTAGGAGTATAATAGTCTTAATTTATTGACAGTATTTAAATCTTGCAATACCCAGCAATACTATTGTGCGTATTATAAACAATATATATTTTCCTCAGTGACCTAACTAACTTTACTGGTGGTAGGACCTCTTGTTAGTCCGCGCGGGTAGGTACCACCAAACTGCCTATTTCTGCCGTGAAGCAGTAATGCGTTTCGGTTTGAAGGGTGGGGCAGCCGTTGTAACTATATTTGAGACCTTAGAACTTATATCTCAAGGTGGGTGGCGCATTTACGTTGTAGATGTCTATGGGCTCCAGTAACCACTTAATATTAGGTGGGCTGTGAGCTCGTCCACCCAACTGAGCAATAAAAAATTAAAAAATAACTTCAATCAACTGCTTGTCGGTCCGCGGGTTCCGTTGTACCAAAGATACCAAAGATAACAATTAAAATACGAAGCCAAAAACAAACGTGTCACTGAAACTGTATTTACCTATATATAAAAAAAATATCTCTCAAAAACTGTACAACATACGACAAGAGCCTTCAAACGCTTATGTAACCAAAAAAAGGAACGATTTTCGCCATTGATTACTACTAAGCACTCAGGCACAAACTATGAAAAACTGTAAAACTAAAACATCAAAACAATACAAAAAGAATTATCGTTGAAAAGTACCTACACGGATTTCATTTTAAATTCGTGTCTGGGACTATCAATTGCAGTTGCTTCACAGATAAGTGTCACAGGGGAGTGCTCTGAGGAATTGTTCGAGATGATACCGGCATCTCGTTTTTACCATCGCACCGCCCGCCATCGGAGTAGAGTTCATCCGTACTACCTGGAGCCACTGCGGTCATCCACAGTGCGTTTCCAGACATCTTTTTTGCCACGTACCATCCGGCTATGGAATGAGCTCCCCTGCACGGTGTTTCCCGAGCGCTATGACATGTCCTTCTTCAAACGAGGCTTGTGGAGAGTATTAAGCGGTAGGCAGCGGCTTGGCTCTGCCCCAGGCATTGCTGAAGTCCATGGGCAACGGTAACCACTCACCATCAGGTGGGCCGTATGCTCGTCTGCCTACAAGGGCAATAAAAAAAAAAAAGATTGATGAAAGTACTCGTATAAGTATCAAAACTAAAACAAAAACATCCTTCGAAACGCGTGGTCACACTAGTAGTTACTTACTTACTAATCCTCGTGTTATAATGGTCCGAGAATCCGTCCTTGTTCGACCAGTCGCACCCTGCCTGGCCCTTACAGAATTCATTTCCACATATACCAACAGATTTTTGTTAAAAAAAAAAATTATTGCTTAGATTTGTGGACGAGCTCACGGCCCACCTGGTGTTAAGTGGTTACCGGAGCTCATAGACATCTACAACGTAAATGCCGCCACCCACCTTGACGTATAAGTTCTAAGGTCTCAGTATAGTTACAACGGCTGCCCCACCCTTCAAACCGAAACGCATTACTGTTTAACGGCAGAAATGGGCAGGGCGGTGGTACTTACCCGGCGTTCCTACCACCAGTAAAGAGTTAATTATTTTCATAGCGATTAATTGGTGCTAATTCGTGGTTAGTAAAGTAATATCGGAGTTTGTCGCAGCCATTAGTTACATCGCAATAGCGTCATTACGGTGCGAAATACTTACATTTTTATAGACAACTATTAATATGCCCTAAACGAAGCCCCTAAAATGATCTCAGAAACACTGTTTGAACTTATTGAGCTTGCAGCACTTTGAATGGAAACTTAACGAAAAAAAAAAAAGAAGTCAAATTATACGTTATCTGGCATTCCAAATTTTGTAAATAATTCTCACAGTTTCGCAGGCCTTCATTACGATGGCAGGCGATAAGGTGGGTTTAACATCGTAGTTGGTCGCTGTCTGGTTTGAGCGATCACGTAGGTACCTATATGTAGGCATCGTATGGAGATGGCGTTGTGTGTCCTTACCTGNAAACTTAACGAAAAAAAAAAGAAGTCAAATTATACGTTATCTGGCATTCCAAATTTTGTAAATAATTCTCACAGTTTCGCAGGCCTTCATTACGATGGCAGGCGATAAGGTGGGTTTAACATCGTAGTTGGTCGCTGTCTGGTTTGAGCGATCACGTAGGTACCTATATGTAGGCATCGTATGGAGATGGCGTTGTGTGTCCTTACCTGGAGGAGAGGTTCGGCGCGGGGGCGGTGGCGCGCGGGCTGCGGATGGCGCCCGCGCATAATGGGAGTCGGCAACCGCTTTGTGTCCGCCGCTGTTATTATGCAGATTAACACCGGCGGGAATTTGTTCAAATATCGTAACAAGCTCTCCTCCCGGCGCCGGCGCCGCTCGCGTTACTGTAATTTACGATTCGAGTCTCGGGAATGTGTCGGGCGCCCTTCTGTCAGAAAACACCAACTCACAAACACGTTTTGAATCGTACTTTCTCCAGCAGCAGGGATGTTTCCTACATTTAATATTGAACGTTACTTCATATAAATATCGTTTTAAAAATGTGGAAACAGCGTTGAAATTAATAATTTTTTAAACTGGATCTAAGGAGGAATGTGGAATTGTGAGACCAGCACTTTAATGATTATGTTGTCATACCTCGAAACTTCCATCTCTTTTATTACTTAGTAATAAAGTTAACCCTGTCGTTCATTGGAATTGACTCTATTTTCTTTCTTAGAGTTAGAAGACAATGATTTTTATATTGAATAAACAACATTTATGGAAAAAGTGATTTATTAATGAGCTATTTATTACACAAGGAAAAATAAAAATCCACATTTTTTTTAAAGAATGAGTATGTATGATGTATGACAGTATTAACTTACTTTTTGCCATTGAAACTTTAAATAAAAATGCATAGAAATAGCTTTTTTTGATTATTAGACTGTGCGATTCATGAACCCGCAGTTTCCTATAAAAATATAATCGTAAACTGTGAGATTTTACAACCTCTAAACATGCGTTAAATATAAAAGAATCGTAATGATATGTACGTACGGTGGTGGCGGTATGCGAAGTTGAGGGGGAACTGCAGAAAGAGGGGGAGGCTGTAGAGTTCCGTCCGGCCGCATTCCTCGGGAGCCTCCGACCTACGGCTCCGCGCACTCGAAGCCTTCTATAGCTTTCCCCTATAGGTACCATGCAATGTTCTATTTAAACGATCGACCATCAAATACTCACTGAACAATTTCTAAATCGATTCTATAGATGTCTCATTAATC